CCTTGCTTAGCGAGGGCGTGAAAATGGCTGCCGGCAAGGGGAATCCTCGCTGAACGGGTAAGTAAGCAAGATATTGGAACGCATTAAACTAAGTTTAATGCGTTTCAATACCTTTTCCCTACCCGTTTAGCGATGATTCCGCATAGCGAGGGTTAATCCGGAATGGATTAACCTCGCTATGCGGGGCACCACTGTATTTTAATCTTCTTTTATGCTATTATAATGTTTTGCTTTGTGGAAATTTGTCCCAATTTAATCACTCGTTTCCTGGATTAAGCAAGCTGCAGTTGAGTCATTAAATATACAAATAAATAAGTTTGACATGGCTCCCCCACCCAAAAATTATTCTTTCTAGTATAAGATTAAACCGTTTAATTTTTGTTGTAGCTGGGAAAGGCCTTTGATAGGCGGCCATTTAAATACAGTATTTCAATTTCAGTTCCTTCCATTGTGGGGAAAAAATATGAAATCCATATCACGTATAGAGAGATCTTTGAATTTTATGAAATATATTTCAAATGTGTAATTTGTTTATTTGCCTAATGTTAGGGCTGGTGTGACAACATTCCTGATCATAATGGAGGCCCTCTGTTTAATTAAGCATTTTTATTAAATACCATATGTGCATTGGTGTTTGGACATAGCAAGTCTAGATAATTTGTGGCTTTAGCAAAAACACATCTGTATGTTCTTGAAGACCTGTTAGTAGAAGTAAGCATTCCATTTTGTAAGAGAGCAATTCTGTCAGGCTAACAAAGTATGGTGATTTCCCAACTGTGAAATCCTATGGCATCTGAAATTCAGCTCATAAAATCAAATTTTAAAAAAATTATGGGGGAAACATGTTTATTTTGAATTTTTGGATCCTATGTGATGTAGCTCATTGGTTAAAACATTATTTATTGATTATTATAAAATGTCAACTTTTTCTTTTCTTTTCTTTTTAAGAGCTGAAAATCATTTACCCAAACTGGATATAAAGTTCATTTTTTCCAGAGTTCTAATGGATGACAGGGAATCTCCTACAAATGACCAGCAGTTAAATTTACAAGACTTCCTTCATATTGACACACACATCGAAAGGATCAAGACTTGCTTGACTTCCCCAGATGAAAATAAAAATCAGCTTAATGACAGCAAACCTGATGCCCTGAAGAGCAGTGACGCCAGAATGGGAAGAGTTGAGCAGGACAGCATAAATAATAATGAGAACAGTGGAGACTACACTTCTTCCTGCCAAGATGATGAAAGTGATAAGCCATGTAGAAGTTTCACTGCAGATGAAACGCTTGTTCTAGAAAAATGCACTTCTGAAAAAAGGATTTTGAAAAAAACACAAAATTTCAGCAGGAAAGGTACTTTGGCTTCTTATATAGACACAGATTTATCTGAAAGTATCTCAGTGTTCAGATTCCCTGAATTTATCTCTTTCACATTTATGTAATATGAGTTAGAGAGCAATTGTAACTAGCAGAGATTGCTCAGGGCTGGCTGAGGTAACAGGAAGCCATCTAAGGCTGTGCTCAGTCAAAACCCCTTTCAGTTTAAGGATGATGGAAATTACTTAGGACTACCCTGACCCTGCCTTCATTTGTGGTACCATAATAGCTGTGAATGTGGGCTGAAAGGGATTTGGATGTGGTGTGAATCATCTCCCCTTCTTCATCCCTTTTTGACAATTTTGCCAGTTTATCTAAGTCAGCACAGCACTTGTGCTGGCACATCAAGTTGTATCAACAGATCTGAACTCAGCCAGAACAAGGCTTCTGCTCATTCTAGATCCATTGCATCCAATGTATCTTTGAGTTTGGATTGCCTGTCGCTTCTGCTTGTGAGGCTATTTGAAAAGTGCTGCAAGTCTCCTATCCAATCCTAAATTCCAGACTTAAGAAAAGAACTGGCTTGTTCATAGAACTGAATTGGTTATCTCTCAGAACTGATTCTATCAGAGCTCCAGTTGAAATCACAGCTAATTAGCTTTCAGTGGTACTTCATCATAGACATGATCAAGGATTCTTCTGTTAAATGTATCATTTAAAACAACAGCTCCGAGGTCCTTTTGCTCTGCGTTTGAACGAAGTACTCTATCTGTTGTCCACTAGACTTCTATCAACTCTCTTTTATGTGCATTCTAATCATTGTGTCAAGTACCGTATTCTTCGCTCCATAAGACGCACAGGTTTTCTACCCCACTTTTTGGGGGAGAAAAAGTGCGTCTTATAGAGCGAAAATACGGTAATCGGTTTGGGTGATATAGTATAATATAATGCAAAAAACAGCTTACAAACATTTTAGGATGAAAAGAAAAAACTGGGCTACAAAAAGAAGCACACTGGAGTTGGAATTGTAGAACTAATAGGCAAAGCTGAGTACTTTCACTTGTTTGAAAATGTGATGGATTTCTATGGTACCTTGCATAAAAGAGTAGTCAGTAGCATAAAGATTCTGAGATAATTTCAGTTTATTCCAAAAAAAATTTTCTAGATGCTCTTTTCTTGAGGACATTACTTGTCTTTTTCAGCCAGTTAAATATGTTGTCATATGCAATGAAGAACATGACTGATTACACAGGAACATAATGCATTGTATTTTCATTCTCTGTGTGTGCATGTGTGCAGATACATTATCTTGTGCATACAGTACTAAGAAAAAATTGCAAATAAGTTGCTCAAATTCAGTGGTGCCCCGCATAGCAACGATAATCTGTTCTGAAAAAATCGTCGCTGTACAGATTCATCGCTATGTGGGGCAAAAGAGCCCATAGGAATGCATTAAAACACATTTAATGTGTTCCAATGGGGAAAATACTCACTGTTATGCGGAAATCCTCCACGCGGCTGCCATTTTCACTGCCCAGTAAGCGAGGAAAGGGCGTGAAAACACAGCGGGTGGCCATTTTCTTTACCCGATGGCCATTTTGGAACTGCCAATCAGCTGTTCCAAAAACATCGTTATGCGATAATCAGTAAGCGAAACGCTTACCGATCATCGCAAAGCGACATTTTGCCATCTAAAACATCGCAATGCGATCGCTTTTGCGATCGCAAAAAACACATTGCTATGCTGATTCGTTGTTAAACTAATCGCTCATTATGTGGGGCACCACTGTACGTCAAACTGGGTTTGCGACACAGAAGAGTGAACAGTTTTATCCCCACCGTGTTAGCCAAATACAAAAAAAATGTGGAAAAACTAAACACGGGACTTTTCCTTTACTATTTTCAAGAACTAAAAGTGTGTTTTTGATGGCAGAAACAAAAGGGTTTCCTAATTTGAGGGTTTATTGTGTAATATGTTTTTGTGCAAACCATAAACTAGACATAAAAGTAAGGTAGCTGATCTTCCATAGAGATTGCTGCTTGTTCAAAGGATGTTTGATTCTGGAGTGCAGAAGGGGGCCAGTTTGTTACATTTAAGTCACATCTTAATGTTCACAGCACTTCTGTTAAAGATTAAAAATATTTGTTGCACGGGGTGAGGAATCATAGTTTGAGAGTTAGTTAAGACTAATCCTCAAAACAAGGATGACAGGGGTATAGTATTTAATTTATAGTGGTGGCTTATCTGTTCATACCCACCCGTTCCCTGTCTATGTGATGAAGGCTTCAGTATTCTAATGCTAATACTGTTGACCTTTGTGTAAGTACTTATGTCTGCATGAACCCAATGGTACATACCATATTTTCCATATGTGTGCAGTTAATAAGTATTTAATGAGTTATGACTGCTTCTTGTTGAAGTCCTGTTATTTAAAACAGTTTGGAGAAATCTTTTTTGGGGAGAAAGTAGATCAGATACAGTTTCTTTGATATATTTGCAACCACATAGTGTGAAGAGACTACCACTATCTGTAAAAACCCTTATCTATGCATGACTAACACAGCATTATACCCAGCCTTGCTATAACCACCACCCCCATTTAAAAAGAAACTCACATATGCAGGAGAAAATAAGTATGGTTTCTGAATTCCCATGAAAACGTGTTGTTGTCCTGGTTTTTTTCTGATTGGGAACAAAAGGTCATTGAAGTACAGCCATTGCAATGTTTATAAGAAAGATAAGATCCTCACTCTTGTCCATTGGACACACCCAGTCATCTTGTTTTCACATAGCTTATTGCATAATTCCTGTGATAGTAAATGAGGTGTCATATTAAACAAACAAATTTTTATTTTAGGTATGTATGCACCTTGAGGCAGGGTAGTGTTTGCACAGTATAAGTAAGTACCCAAAGGTTGAACTACCAAGCCAATTTCTGTACTTGTTCTTTCATGAAGGAGGAATAATATAGTTGTATGTCATAAACCTGGCTTGAGGAAGGAACTGAATTATCCTGTCTAAAGTATACATACTATTTTTTAGTATGTATACTAATTATTTCTCTTGTAGTAAGTCTTTTTTTATCAGAGACGGAGCAGAGATCAGGGACAAAAAGCAAAGAGGAAATCCTCATGTAGTTACAAGGACAGGTTTCCAGAGGCTTAACAGTATCCATCAATGAGGTTGGGAGCTTTAACTTAACAGACGGAGAAAATGCCTTGTGTCAAATTTTCTATTGGTAATTACATTTTTCATTAGGTACAGTAAATGTACAAGGAAGTTTAGAGACTGTGTTTAATTTCTAAAAAGAGAAACAAATAGAATAGGGTGGGAGGACGCTATGCTGGAGGAGAGAATGGCACACTTGGTCTTGCTACACGGGAATTAGGCAGTAGGAAACCTTAAAAAAACTCTGGGATAATTGCTAAGATGAGAATAGGGACAGTTTTCCAGGTTAGAAATAAAGTTTCCAGACCTGTTGTGTAGGAGGGGTTGGGCCTGCAGCAAATATCTTAGAAAGTTATTGATCATCACCATCTTAGAACTGCAAAGCTGGAAAAGCTCCTGTGGATCATCAAGTCTAGCCCTTGTCAAGAAGGCGCAGGTGGGAATTGAATTCTAAACTTCTGCCTCCGCAGCCAGGTACCTTAACCACTGAGATCAACAGTGTGTCCCTTCATTAAGTTGGAGGAGAGGCAGTCCACTGTTTTGGGAGAGGCACTTTTTTCAAAACCAGAAATTGATCAGAACAGCTCATGAGCAACAAAAAAGGGTGACCTTGCTCCCTGGAGTCTGTATGGGTAGTTAAAAACAATGTAAGAGAAATATTTGGGGATTGGGAGGATGGATGCAGTTCTCCAAAATCTACGAGAGGTTTGTGCTACTCCTGAACACTGGTTGTTCTTTCCCTGTACCTGTGTTGACTGTCTAGGAAAGGACTTGACTGCTTGGCTCTAAGACCCCCTGTTTCCCCAAAGAGAGCTGCAAGGGGGATTCAAACAGCAGTCTGTCAGTATCAGCCATTCTATCTCCTGTTTTATCTGTACCAGCACAGGAGAAGGTTATCAGCCTGCAGATTACAGGCTGACAGAAAAGAAAAGAACAAAAACTTGTACATCTGAAAAGATTGCCTGTTCTTGCTAATTTTAATGCCCTAATTTTTATGTACTCGTTTTGAGATTTTGTACAAGGAAGGCACGTTTTGTTTTTTTAAATCAAAAGCTAAATGGAAACAGAAAAGGTCCTCTTTCTGATGTGGCACATCTTGCCACAACCCAGGCTTATCCTGAGAACGAGAGTTATGGGCAGGGAGGTCCCATTATGTGCATGGGCTGCTGCTAAATGCTGACTAGATACATACCATCCGGTGTTGTGATTTTTTTTTCAGAAGCTGTTTATTGTCCTATTGTTTTAAAATATCTAACTGTTTTCTGTAGACACTAATCAAGCCAAGCAAGAGAAAACTGATGTTGAAACCACAGTTTTTGAACACAATGAAGACAGACACGAGACAAATGCAAACTGTTCTCAAAAGGATCCAAGCCAGACCTTACAGGCCCTCTTCTCTCTCCTTCGGGAAGAATTTGAGCAGATGGATTCACAAGTGCTACCCCTGTGTCTGCACCAGGTAGTGAGAACACCCGCCTAGTTTTCCTCTTCTCATTTTTTTCTTCTTCGTTGCTTTATAGCTTTGAGAGATGGATTTGGTGTATAATTTAAGTATTGTCAGCTGGAGTCTGAATCTGTAGCTGACTGCTGGAGCACCATTGTTGGATATAAAGATCTCAGAGTCATTCTGCAGCATCTCTCTCTGAAGCAGAGATGGGAAATGTGCAGCCTGAAACCCATTTGTGGCCTTTCAGGGTCATGATTGCACCTGGAGCCCTCCAGAGAAGAAAAAGTTCCTCCGTGTTTTTGGAATGTTCTCCTCCAAATCAGGAGGGTCACACCTGTGTGCAGTTCTCCTCTAGAAAAATGTGGCCCTACACCCACATCTTGTAGCCAAAATAAATAAAGGCTCTGTTTGAGAGTGCTGTTCATAGAAAATAATACTCCTTCATACTATGAATTAAAGGTCTAGCATGCTATAGGGCTGCTATGTGTTCCAAAACATAGCTCTCATCTCTAATCTGCATATCTCAGATTATACTAATGATATCTTGCCATGTATTGTTCTATGCTCATGTATATCTTATTTCAGAGTCTGGAGTGCCTTTGTGTTTCTAGACAGAAATATTCAAATTCATTGAATTCTGGCTCTCAGTATGGTATGTGAACATGGACCTCAGTATTGAACAAATGTCAGTCCCTGAAAGGTGATTTGAAGTGTGCTAACATCACTGTAATATCTGAAAATTGTGATTTCACCTTTTGCTTTGCTTCACAGATTGCTGAAACCTATTTTCAAGATGGAGAATGTATCCTTTTTAAAATCCAGATCGAGTTGTATGCTATAGTGATCAAAACAAAAGCATATGGCTGTAGATTTTTCACTACCAAGCATGGTAAAGACCAAGTGAAAAAAATTATGATTATATTTACATGTAGTTTTCTGCTTTCTTAATTCTAGGGAGAGGTTGACTTTTCTCTTAAATTGGTACAAATAAAGGTTGTGAAGTGACACCAAGTAAGGGAAAATCCCAGAAGCTGACTCCTTTTTTTATCAGTTAATCACTTCTCACACAAACACAAGGCATTTGTCGGGGCTATTTTCCAACAAGTGTGAATGGTAGTGAGCAGAAGAGGGTATCCTGTAGACCAGCTTGACTTCTGCCATTGGTGCTGTCAACATCCAGGCTTCCCTTTGCTCTGTAAAGCTTTGCATCCTTTTCCTGCTGACAACATGGGCACAATATTGCAGCATTGGGCTATTTCCTGGTGTTTTGAATTGCGGATGCCGAAACACAATATCCCACGTTCATAAACTAGAAGTTTTTTGAATAATTGAATCCAAATATAGGGATAGGCGTTTCAGGACAGAGCTTGATTTCTTTGCTCTTCTAATTCCTTTTAAATGTAGCATGTTACAGTGGTTGGCGTCTAAAACTTGGAAGACCTTTGAGAGAACCTCCAATACATTGAAAGGCCTGTGGTCAGACTAGTGCAGATGTTTCGGTGCAAATTAGTTCCAGTATATGTGGAAGCATTATGCATGGACTTGTAACTCCTCATACTGTGGCTTTGAACCTTTCTGTTTCCAAAAGGAAGTATTTTAACAAAATTTATGTAACAAAATTTGAAATGTATGGTTTGAAATCATGTTGCTTAGCATAAGAAAATTCATAACTTTCAGTCCATTCCTAATCAGCAAAGAAAGACCCCACTGTGATTCTTAGAAGCACATGCACATGTGCATAACAGCTTGGTACATGAATGCACCTCTTAGATTTTTATGTGCTGGGAACAGACTAAAAGTAACTTATTTTCTTACACTAAGCAACAATATTTCTGCCATAGGAACACAATTTTTCAAACTGTTTTTCAACCAAAGTCCCCATAGGGCACATAAGGTACAACTTGTCATAATATGAGGACCTCAAATTATGATATTCCTTTCATCTACAACCTTCTTGACTTTTTTTCATTGGCCAGTAGAGGGTGTAAAGGAGCTTCATTAGTTTTTACTAAATCCTATTCAGTTTTATAAGAAGAGAAACTAGAGGTAAAATCATGAGAGTAGTTGCATTCATCCAGGTTCAAGGGATGGTCATGTGTAGCCCCTGGACCTGTGGAGGTTGCCTTCTCTGATATACCCCATGGGTAATGGATGCAACAAAAGTTGGTGATATTCCTGCAGACTGGAAGGCAAATGGAAGGAATGAAATACATTTAGCTTGAGAAGAAAAGAGTGAGGTGCAGCATAATAGCACTCTTCAAATGTTTGGATGACTGCCAGGCAGCAGGGCAAAAATCTGTTCTCTATTATCGTAAAGGAGCTAATGGTCCTAAGTTACAGGAAGATAAACTTTGATTAAACAAGAAGAAACCTCTTGAAAGTAAGTACCGTTTGATAAATGGTTCCATTATTAGCAGCAAGGTCTGTTTTTTGCTGGAATTCTTCAAACAGAAAATAAGCAGCCATTCACTAAGAAAGCTCTGGATTTCCTGCATCTATTGGAGGGCTGGATTAGATACTTATAATTCCCTGGCCCTGATTTTATGATTGTAAGAGACAATATTTTCAGACTTGTAACCATGTTAGTCTACTTCAGCATGTATAACAATAACAAAATTGATAGTGGTATCCTTAGGAGTAACATATTTATTTCAGTGTGAACTTTTGTGGATTACAATCTGTTTCCTCAGACATGTGACATTTAATGTGAATTCACAGTGACCCCATATAAATAATCCAGTAATTTCCTCCATAGCAACTAAAGGGAGGTAAAGTGTTATGGAATTTAGTTCTGCATTTATTCATGTAAAAATGAATAGTAGGCATTCTAATTACAAGTTTATGCCTCATACTATGCCACAATGTGTGGTAGATGCTTATGGTTGTTTTGATTTTCTGTTACATCAAAATTTTAGAAAAAATGTAGCATTTTTAGCTTTAAATAAAAAAATTCAATTGCTCTGTGTATGTCTGTGTTCACATCCATGTTCTAGTTTAGCCTTTTGAAGAACTAATTTCTGGGAGTTTGAATGAGATAATATCATTTCTGCTGAATCTCCCATCTTTAAATGTGACCATCAGATAGAAGCTCTCACTCAAGAGAGCTTGTTGTTTGTTCAAAATCATAGTGCCCCCCGGGGTAGTGACTGCTGAGAGGTGCAATTTAGCAGGAATTAAGAGAGTGGGTTCTTGCAGCCATATAGGCAGGCCCTGCATGTCAGATTTCTCTTACAGTACATAAAAAGGCAGGCTATGGCTTTTGAAAACAGTTGCATATTACAGCTGTACTGTCAGTCTGTGTCTGTGTTTTCCTTTAGCTTCCAGTTCAGATGAGAAAGCTATGAAATTCATTCAGCTTGAACGCTTATATCATGAGCAGTTACTTGCAAACCTTTCTTCTATTCAACAGCAGTGGGGTAAGTAGGTCATATAGTGGAAAACTGTACATTTAGGTAAAACTTGAAAAATGTGTTACTTAATTCTGACAGAATAAATTCTGAATTGTGAAACCCCCATGTTTCCCTGGTGCTCAACGTTATGAAATACACTCCATTATTAGAATATGTCTGTTTTTATTGTCTGGTTTTCATGAGTGGGCATCATGATCTTCAATTAGGTTTCCATTTCTTTGTGTACTACTGTGGTTGTTCTGTATATATAATGTTTTGAATTTACTTTAAGGCTACAGTATATTCAAAATATTTTCACACATTCTTTGTTATAATATAAGAAATAATTGTGTATTGTTTCAGAAAAAAAATGGAAAGCAGCAGCATCCAATGAGATTCCACAGGCAAAATGTTCTACTAAAGGTCTGAATAACAGAGAGTTAGACAGACTCGCTGAACTGTGCACATCACATCAAGAGTAAGTAGCTGTGCATTCAGGCCTCCTAATAGCTACACCAATACAGTTAGGAACTTCTTTACCATGCAACTGTGTTGACACTAAATTCTCCTTCGCATTTTATATATTTACAAAATGTAAAGTAAAGCAAAAAAGCAAAGCGTGCTGCTTATATACCGCCCCATAGTGCTTCAAGCACTCTCTGGGCGGTTTACAAGTTAATTATGCAGGCTACACATTGCCCCCCCCCAGGGAGCTCGGTACTCATTTTACCGACCTGAGAAGGATAGAAGGCTGAGTCAGCCTTGAGCTGGCTACCTGGGATTTGAACCCCAGGAGTAAATTAATTAAGGACTCTCAGTAGTGTAGCCTCAGTAGTGCAAAAAACAAGGTCTCCCTGTCAGGACTCATTTCTCTACCAAAACTGGAACAGAGCAGGGCTGTTTATGCCAGAAATATATTTCCAAAAACAGCTGTACTTTCATGGCAGTACAGCCTTCAGCTGACAATGTCAGTGGAAGTTGTCTCTACCTCTGTAGTGATGATCTTCATGTTATATATGTGATTGCAGTCATATCCAAGATCAAAACATGGATTATATTTGTTTGATTATAAATTAATCTTAAATTTAGCTCCTCCGGGCTTTATGGATGGCAAGTTGTCTGAAGAGTTGTATGAAAGAAGAGGTCACAAGCGCTATCTGAGCAATCCCCTCCTTAAATGTTGCAATGCAGAGTACCTCCCCTTATCTATTACAGAGCATATTAAGGCTACTTACACCATTCTAGTGCCAAAATCTGTTGTTTGTCCCTCTTTGTACACATAAACATTCAGATGTGCATATGTCCACATGTAATCCACCACAAAATGGAACATTCACCAGTAGTGTGCTGCATGTAGAATTATGCACTGAGCATCAATAGTGTAAGCAGCTGCTGCTTCTAAAGTGGCAAGGAAGAAGCACAAAGAATCATTGAAATTCAGTGAAGTTCAGATGTTGTTTTACAGGGTTTATTCTTCAACAACTTTCCAGGATTTCTGACACTATTCTTTCCTAGTCCTACCTGGAGATCATTAGCGTTTGCTGGTGGTGGTCCTCTATTCAAGTATTAACCAGGCCAGATTCTGCTTGGCTTCCAAATGTGATTTATTATGTTCAGGCTGATGTCATGACTCACTGGCAACTGCACTACAACAAAACCTAGAAGGCCACAAGCAGCCTTCCTCTGCCATAGGTGAAAGAGACAAAGTAGTTCAAAGGAGGAAATGACTATCCTGGCCCTGTTCATATAGGATAGTCAGCAAGGTAGAGCAGGAGATTATGCCAAGAGAGGATGATGAGGAACATGCAGAATAGTTTTGAAGGACAAGCAAAACTAGGATACTCTTAGAGCTGAACTGAGGGCCACAAACATGGAAGATGCCCAGGCAAGCTTCATTCTAACAAGTCAAACATGCTAATGAGCAACAATTACTTTTGTCACGTGGACCATAATGAATATCCACTGATGCATGCATTTTGATGCTTTTTCTGCAAGGGAGTAGTTTTAAAGAATAAGTCATACCCAGATCAGTGCTTCCTGACTTGGTTCTCAGATGTTGCTCAGTGACAGTTCTTTGAATCTCTGACCACTGGCTATGCTGGGTTGGGTTTTCGCGAGTCCACGCGCAGCAACATGTGGAGACCAAGGTTGGGAACTACTCATCCAGAGGTTGGTTAGGTAATCTTTATTCAGCTTGAGTGTCACATTTCCTGGGAGATAATTTTGGGCAAGATGCTGTTGGTACAGTATAGATATGCAGGCATAAACTGGATTCGGGCACCAGAAATAATGAATTGAAAGACTCCTGCACTTCCCCTTCAGGATCCAATGCTCACTACAGCTTCGTTTTGCTTTTGGGAACCTTGAGATGGAGGAGGAGGGGCCTTTAATAGTCCAGAATCACCACTGGATCTCTACTGCTAGTGATCTGGTGACTGTTTTTGGTTATTAAAGACTCGTCTCCACCTGAAGCTCCCCTGAGCCATCCCAAGGCAAAAGGGAGCCCTAGCAAGCCTTGGATCCTGAAGGGGAGTGCAGGAGTCTTCTGACTCATTTAAATTAATTATTTCTGGTGTCCTGCTCTAATTTACATTGGTGTAACAATATTTTGCCCCGTGCTGGGTTCTGTATGTCAGTTGTGTAGCGGCCAGAGCCAGAAGTGGGAGATATCATATTTTTATTTTATTTTTCTCACATAGCACTGTGGCAAGGAGGGATAGATTTCAACTCGCTGCTTGCAGAGGATTATTGAAACTAACCCGGGAGATGTAGGCCAAGGCCCTGCCCTTTAGTGTTGTAGATGTAGTTCTGGTTGTTTTGCTTAGTAGGAAATACTGTAGTATAAAGCTACTCACACAAATATTCTAAAGAGGAGCATAGGAAAGTACACCTTGAGGGGGTAATTGATGCATGCATTTTGATGCTTTTTCTGCAAGGGAGTAGTTTTAAAGAAATAGAAATTTCTCCTTGTTAACATTTTCTGGATATGTCCACAATGTGAAGTGAAGTAAATAAGTTTTTCAAGCATAGAAATATTGAATATTAAGTTGCAGCCACTAATGCACTCTGAGAGACTTTGCTTGTGTTTTTTATATGTATATGGACCTAAAGTGGAAGTTATCCTGGCTTGTGTTCTATATGCTTTATTCATCACTTTTAGAATCTGTTTTAATTTACAGTGTGTTTCATTTGGCAACAGAGATATTTCCTGTGTTATGGATATTTTGCTGTAATATGTTCCCATTAAGGTAAGGATGGACAAAGTGCAGCCTTCCAGGTCTTATTGAACAGCTGCTCTCAGCAATCACAACAATTCAGTATGTCACCTAGGGCTCATGGGAGGTGTAGTCCACCAACATCTGGAAGACTACAAATTGTCCACCTCTGCATCAAGGCAGTGTTAAATTACCTTAGAGCAATAGTTCCCAACTTTGGATATTCTTGGACTGCAATTCCAGAAGCCTTCACCACCAGCTGTGCTGGCTGGGGTTTCTTGGAAGTTACAGTCCAAGAACACCTGAATTACCCAAGGTTGGGAAACCACTGCCTTACAGTATGTAGAAGCAGGTATGTGGCTGTAATAAGGAATGGAGACATAGATCAGTTTTCTGGTGTGATCTAGTCAGTCTGAATGTGACTTTGATTTATTTGTCTTTGGTCACAAACACCTGAGTAGTGTAAAATAATAACAGGACCCGCAAAAAATGTTGCTTGTTGTTAGGACGCAAGCAAGTTCAGAATGTCAGCCCACCACCATGCCTTCTTCTATAATACTCTTTTCTATTTATCCCTCCTCCCCTTTTTTCTGTTCTTCCCTCAACATTTTCTAATCACTGAGCATATCTAATCCTGACCTTGCTGTTTCAGAGGGTATACATAGTTCTTAGTTTTCCTCCCTTAAGGGCTTGTTTTGCTAACTACAAATCTTGGCATCCTCTGAAGTCTGCTGGTACTTTCTTCTTGCATGTGGATAGTGCCATTTTGGCTAACTAAGGATCCATGCTTGGAAAATTAGTTTGCTTTACTACATAGGATAACCTTTAAACATTGAAATTTGCTGCCATTTGTTATGATTTTATGGCTCACTTCTTTTATGAGGCATGTTGCTTTTTTTGTAGAATTCATTAATGAATAAAATAGAGGTTCCATTCCATTCTGCAAGAAAAATCAAAAACAATAACGTGTACATTTTTCTCCAGCCTTCACTGATTTGAAAGTGACTTAACTCTTTTGCATAATCTACTTCAACTCAAGACAGGTTTTTGAAAGTTGATACTTCTGTATAAACAAATAAAAAAACCTTTCTGACCTCTTGTATTGATTTCACTGTTTCTACAGTCTTCTGGGCCATTAGTGATCATTGGCACTTATAATGACGTTAGCATATGGTCTGCCTCCTTGCTTTAAAACTATGCTGGCACAGATAGTATTTCAGTGTTGGAAACTTCTGTGCTAATATTAGAGCATAGAAAGAACTAATCTGATTTGTCGTCTAGTTTTGATGACATTTATTGTGAAGAATATTTGGGTGAAAGCAGTTGTTTATTTATTTTATTTTATTTTTTTGGTTACAGACCACTTGTCTCTAGAAGCAAGGTAAGCTTTGAAGTTTTCCTTGGCATGATTTTTCACAACTGAATGTTTAAATCTTTTTAGATGTGCTAAGTGTTATGGACAGAGCTTACTTTACATAACATGTCTTGCATGCAATTTTAAAACAGTTACACAACTGCATTCAACGATAGCAATTCTGTTCTGTTTTTCAGGTGATAAGTAAAGAAAAATCCTTGAAACATGAACGTTTCTTGGGTTTAATGGTATCAGAAGATTTAAGAGAAAGAGGTGCTGCTGCTGCATTTGATTCAGGTATCCATGACATAATTTATCTGAGTTTTAATCTGAAAACAGCATACAGTGTTTGGAAAGTATCTGTTTGGAAGAGCAGTAGCTGGACACATTTCTGACAGAAATATTCCTGAACTTTTTGTTTAAAAACAAACCCTCCCCAAAAGGAAAACAAAGGCTTTAAACAATACCCCTTTTTTCCTGATTTTAAAAATAGTATCTACAACTCCCATACCTGAACCACTGTAGGTGAAAGTGGCATCTCTCTCCTCTTAGGGGACAGAACTCACCTTTGCTTTTAGAAGAGGGATCTTTACCCTCCCCCCTTTAATGAAATGTTTGTTGGAATTACTCCCTTTTTGGCATTGTATGCTTGGGACCTTATTAGAAAATAAATGATTCAAGGAGATAAAAGAAAATCAAAAGTAAAGATTGTGGAACAGAAACTTTTTGTGTCATGATTTGGGTGTCCCACATTTTGTAGGCTATAGGGCCATGTGTCTGGAAACCAGAGTAGGCTTTCTGGTAATGAGTCTGTGTCTACATTATAGAATATTGGATGCACTTCTTTTTTTCACTTGAGTACCCTTGTTGTATGTGCCCTATGTTAATGGTCTCTCATGCAGGCAGATAGTCACTTCTGTTTCTACATAAAATTGGATCAACTGGCATATTGTCTAAATCTGTCTTGAAGCTTGGGAAACAAGCATTCAGAGGGCAGTCTCAAAGATTGTACAGTAACGAGAGACACTATCTGTATTTTCTAGCAAACCTCCTCCCCTGTTGTAGGTGATACATTGCCAGCACACAGGGCACTCACATCCTATCCTGCCTGTAACAGTTCTCAGAACACCTCAACCTTGTGGACCATTTATGTTTACGAAGCTCAATACTTTGCCCTCAGCAACACTCCAAGGCAAACTTGTGGGAATTGGTTGCCAATAGCGAAATTTCCCATGTCCATTTGGGGCTGTAGAAGCTTTATCCCATGTTCTTTAATAGCTGAAAGATTATAACATTTGTCCCACTTTATGTAAATTTCAGGAACATCCTGATGACCACATATATTATATCAAACTATAACTTTTCCATTAATACCCAATAGGTATCTTGATAACATTTGTCCCAATTTGTGTAAATGTCAGGATCATCCTGATGACCACTTTTCCATTAATACCCAATAGGTATCTTTTCAGTAGCTGTCCTATGAATGTGGATTGAGTCACTAGATTGTAATAGGTAATTCCTACCTATTTTCCAGCATGCGTTCTGTGTGTAAATAGTTTGGTCTGTAGCTTGAATGAGTCATTTGACTGTAATAATTAAATTTGGTTATGACAAAAGCAAAATGGGACTAGGAAAAGACATTAAAAGTGATTATGGTGCAGTCACCTATAGAGATGTCTTCGGGATGTGTTTTTGCTTGCTGTCTGACTCTGTACACCACCCTCCCACCACATTTCTGTCTTCTCCTCCCTGACAGAAATGTTTGTTGAACACTCTAGCATTAGGTACCTGCTATGGGGCCTCTTGGGCACCATGGTCACTTTAATTTTACAAGAAACACACGTGTTCAGCTCTTTATTTTGTTCTCAGGTATATATGCATATTTTGTCTTTACCAATACTCTATGGATGTTTCATATCATTTGTTTGAGAGCAATAGAAATTGGGGCAAGCCAGTGGCACTAACAGCTTCGAGTCATGTGACCAGTATAGCTTCTGCTCACAAGGGGCACTACTGGAAGTCTTTTGGGGCTTGGCACGTGACTATTATATTAGATAGGTAAGGTGGAGCAGGATGGTGGCCACAGGCTCTGCATTGAGTCACATTTGGATAATAGCCATGGACCACTTAATGCATTTGCTTAATTTGTCCAGGAAGTGGGTCCCTGTTCCTTCATTTCCTTAGGATTCAGCCTTGTTTTAAAGGTCTCCTTCAGCCAACAATGGTGTATAAATGGGAAACGTTCGATATACATTCCATCCCCTAAGAAAAGAGATGCCAAAGTGTGAAATAACGATAGGACCATTGCTTTAAAATGTCCTATGAAAGCAAAGTGATGCTCAGAGTGTTGCAGCGAAGGCTTTTACCTTATATGGAGCAAGAAATGACTAATACTCAAGCTGGGTTCTGAAAAAGAAGAGGCACTCAGGATCATATTGCAAATATCTGCTGCCTACTGGACCGCACCAAAGAATTTTGACTGTGTAGTTCATGTGAAACAATGAACTGTTTCTGGAGGCAAAGATGATGAAACTGAGGCTGGCCTACTTTAGGCACCTCATGAGTGGCAAGATTATCTGGAAAAGACAATAATGTCAGGAAAGATGAAAGACAGCAAGAAAAGTGGTAGACCAAATACTAGATGAATTGCCTCCTTAAAGGAGGCCACAGGCTTGGGTTTACAAGAACTGAGTAGGGCAGTTGAGGACAGGACCTTTTGGAAATTTCTCATTCATAGTGTTGCCATATGTCAACTTGACAGCCCATAGCAACAACATTGTTCACAAAGTTGAGGTAGTGATAGAGAGAGAAGTATAAATTTTCAAATATTTACCAAAAAATCTCAGTATATACATTTTTAATTACCGTAATGGGCCTACTCACTTTGTAGTAACAGCATATAGCAAGTATAGTTAACAGTGACCCTCCTGATGTTGTTAAACTGCAGTTTGTATGGACTCTCACCATTGGCTTATTGGCTGAAATGGGTGGGAGATTGTTTCGTTCCTTTATCCATCCAGACTATGATATACTATCCTCTATCATGAGAGTTCAAGTCAGGATACAACAAAAAATACGAACCTGCCTGCGTGTTATCATCAGAGGAGGCCTCCAGGGAGCTCACTCTGGCTGGGCCAGGCTGCCCGAGCAGCTCCGCCTCTTCCATGGCAGGAGGGCAGGAAGGAAAAGGGAAGGCCCGGCCACCCTCTCAGCCAATCAAGAGGCAGCGGAACCAGAAGTGGCAGAGGAGGGGGGAATCCCGGCACAGAGGTGCCTTGAGACCGCCTGCGTGTTATCATCAGAGGAGGCCTCCAGGGAGCTCACTCTGGCTGGGCCAGGCTGCCCGAGCAGCTCCGCCTCTTCCATGGCAGGAGGGCAGGAAGGAAAAGGGAAGGCCCGGCCACCCTCTCAGCCAATCAAGAGGCAGCGGAACCAGAAGTGGCAGAGGAGGGGGGAATCCCGGCACAGAGGTGCCTTGAGACCCCACTCCGAATGGCACGGAGGTGCTTTGAGACCCCACTCCGAATCCACCGCCAGCCCCAGCTGCTCCGGATCCGCCTGCCGAAGTGTCAGCATCACGGCTGCAGCCGCCTTCCCAGGTTTGGTCAGCACCACGGCTGCAGCCGCCTTCCCAGGTTTGGCTGCGGGGGGCGGGTGGAATAGCGATCTGCCGACTTATTGCTCATGTGCTGGCAGAAAGGGCTCTGCATGCCAGCTGTGGCACTCGTGCCATAGGTTCGCCATCGCTGGACTATGGTAATGTGCTCTTTTCTACATTTTTATATCCTGGAGAATTTTAAATCTCAAAAACAGTGTGTTATACATTTTGAATTATAACTTATATAGCTGTCAATATTACCAGTGAAATCTCTGATACTGTTTTACTTTATGTATAAAGATATAAAACAGGGGAGAGATTCTTCCCCCCACCCAAAGAGCCAATAACTAATGGGAAAAGCCAATAAAGTGGCTGCATCTGGCACTGAGGAAAGCCAGAGCCAAAAGCAGGTGTGATCAGAGCCCAGCAGTACTGAGCCACCCTTCGTCTTTCTCTGTCCTCCCTTCTCCTCCCCAGTGGAGTGCCAGAAAAGTCACCAGGAAAGCAGTTATATACCATTCCCAATGTCTTCCCAAGCCGGACTATCAAAAGAGGTCTCTTCTCCCTACTTGGGTAAGGAGGGACTTATCCTGAGCAGAGGTACCCTTGGAAAGGGACATCTGGCCAGATCTGCATTTTCTGAAGTTTCATCCCATTCAGACTGAACCACGAATGCCCTTTAAAAGCACAAATTGGAATAAATGGCATATATCAGCTGAGTGTTAAGATTATCAGGGAAGCCTCTGTCACCAGCCCACCACCATCACAGGCAGTCATGGTGCAGACCTGGGAAAGGTCCTCTTGAGTAGCTTCTAACAGGCTGTGGTATTCCCTCTAGTGGAAAACCCCTGCCCTGCTGTTCCTTCACATATGCCTTTCTTTTTCAGGCAGGCTTTGAGTATGTAAATTGTTGGGGAAGGCATTTTAAGAGGGGAGCTGTCTTTTTAAAAGCGCTTTTAAAAATACTTTAAAGGGATTTTTAGTACCTTTTAAAAATTAATATGCTAATTCATTTTTAATAGCACAGTATTTGTTTTAATAATTGTGTTTTTAAATCACTTGTAAGCTGGCTAGAGTCCCTTTATAGGGAGAACAGCAAGTAGAGATTAAATAAATACATACATATTTTCTGCTCCTCTCATTTCGGCAGCCATTGGCACCAGGAAATTTGGCTGCACGCATTCTTTTAGCCAGGGATTCCCCCACTAGAGTTTTAAAGCAGTGTGTATTTTTGCCGCAAAGAATGTTTAGGCAGGAAATCTAGCTGCATGTTTTCAAAACAAAAGAAAAACGTGCAGATATGTAACTAAGCATACCATTGTTCAGCACACTATTTTAAATGCATATTATGTTTTATAAAAAACAGTACGTGCTTCACTTTCTTCACCAAATATGATTGCCATTTTGTACATTACAGTATAATGAATTGAATTGAGGCATTACTGCTGGACAGGAATTCACTCAAAAATTATTAATGAGCAGTGTTATTGGATTACTGATTCCCCCCCTTGCCTTCCATTCTGATGTACTGTATTGAATTAGCTTTAAACAGCTGTGCTTTTTTTCCTGTTGCATTTAGATATACAATCTTGGCCTGGCATTAGACCAAAGAAAGAGAATCATCACAGAAAGACAGAGAGGAGTGAGAGTTTCCAGCCTGAAAATCATTGTGTGCTTCAGGAGAAGGCAAGTCGTCAGCTAGCTCTGGGGAAGGACCACATGGAGGAGGAGCACTGCATTGCTGAATCAACACTGGAGCCACCCACAAAGGCCACAGGGAAACCAGACACACCTAGCTCTAGCTGTTTATCTTCTAGGGATGCTGGGGAAGATGACAGTCTGCAGCTAAGAGAAGAACTGTGCTCTGAGGATGTAGCAAAAATAGAAGCAGCTGCTGAGGAGTCTGCAGCAGAGCGTTCTCCTGAGCCAATGGTAGACACATTGGTTTTGACAGATGCTGATTATGTACCTCCTGATTTAATTTCCTCAGATGACAATGTTCCATCTGAAAGAAACTTCCTCAGATCAAAACAGTATTCTGGTTCTGTAGAAACTTCCACCAGCCAGCTAGCAAGTTGTGTATTAAATCAACAGCAACCTGATTATGGAAACGATAGGAAATCTGTGCGGAGCAGAACACCAGCTGTCAGTGGGGATGTGTGCTCTGAAAGCAATACGCCTGAGCAGACCTGTGCTGCATTTGAAGGGATGCAAGAGGAAAAAGCAGTACTAGAAGAAGAATGCGAGAAAGAAGATCCGGAAGACTTATTGGACAGGTTTTTAAATGGTAGCATAAAAGACAGAGAGGAGTCCCTCGAACACAATCTCCAAGAATGCCAGGGAGACTATGAAATTCTTCCACATATTCCACCAGAACAAGCACTTTATAATTCATCAGATGGTTATTCACTGGAGGAAAACTTTTCTTCACTTGATGAACTCGCAAAACGGATAGAGATTGCAGAGGTAAAAACTGCACAAAAACACTTAACGTTGTTTGCATTATTTGTACAGTAGTTACTTTGTTTCTCTTCCATATTTTCTTCAGCATGAAAATAATTGGGGTTTGTTTATGGTAATTCTTTTTCCAAGTTTTAAGCATCCACTTTAGAAAGTATCCTCATCTCTGCCACACACGCCCCAGGCCTGTTTAAGAAGAGGTTTGATTTATGAGTTTGATGCATAAAATAGGTTTTTCTGTCTGGTGATTGCCTGGAAAAGAGAGAAAAGAATGTACTGTGTATTTCAAAAGGCCTGGCATTTTACAGTTACCAGCACTAATAATAATAATACTGTAATGGAAAATGAAAGTGGGGAAAGACAGGACAATGAAGAATGCTTTCTCATATATCATTCCAGTTTCCAATTCCTGGTCATAAAACAGCCTGTTATAATGTAAATAAGAACCTTTCACATATGATAAAGACATGAATAGCTGATAACATTTGCTATTTTTTTCTCCATGAAAATATACCTGCTTCTGTCATTGCTCTTTTAAATTGAAAGAGCAGGCAGAATAACTTACCAAAGGAGTTCTAAGTCATTCTGACTTGTGGGAGCCCTGCGGACAGGACATTTTATTTCTTATGAACTACTTTTTGCTGCTTTTTCAAAGCCCAGCATGCCAGTCAGAGATTATAACAGAACACACTATATTTTTATAGTTGGCTGACCTCCCTGAGGTCACATAATGCTTCTGGGCATGTTAGCTGAGTTTTCTGCCATGCCGTCCACAGAAGGCTATCCATTATGCATTATACTACTGATCTGTATAAGCAGGAAGGCAGAAATGGCCTTGTATAACATTTTCTCCATAGTGCTGCTGAAGACAGGATAGAGTTTAGTCCAAATAAGGCTGTTTTTCTAATAGTGGGTACACAAGTCTGTCTTGGATCAGTGTAGTTCTTCTCCAGTGTTAGTGACACAATTACTAGCCAGTGTACTCTGGGATACTTTGAACTGTGTTTTGCAAGTTTACTATGAACATTTTAAAAGACCTTCGGTCCTCCTGCTACCTTCCTTATACATATAGATTAACATGCAAGTAGATCTATTATTTTCCCCTCATATTTGTACTGTTTCCCTAGAGAATTATATATTGCAAAATTCTGTTTTAAAATACATGTATTTCTAAGTGCCTGGAGGACAACCCTGTGTGATAAAGACCCTTCAATTACCTAGAAAATTAATTTAGCAAAAGGCAATGTGTTATTTTGACATTAAGCATAATAATGTACATTAAGTGTCAAGAAGTAGCTTGTTAAAGTGATGCAAACTGTGAGTAACCATGAGACTGGTTTAAAGTGGCCTTTAAACTTGTTACTCTAGTACATTACTGAACATTAAAATAAATGAATTTTACAATGTTTTGGATAATTAAGAGTCTGTTGTATAATATCACTTCTCCTGTGCAGGTATGCTTCAAACCTTTGAGGACAGTAGAGATGGTCATGCAGGATTTGAAGTTCTTTCGTAGAATTTTTTAAAAATTCAGGAATCTCACTAATCCAGAAAAGTATTGTAAATCCTTTAAAATATAAAACTAAGGTTTTAAGAGACTTCAAGAGAATGCAGTTATCTATTTAAAAAGGAAGTCCTTTAAATCATTTCAAGGACAACAAGACTGGTAGAATAATTTTCATGCCTACTTAAATACAAACTGCTTGTGCTTTTCCTTTTTTTTCTTTTCAGCAAGAGAACATTAATTAGATATTCAAACAGACTATGGTAAAATTTGATTTGTCATTTTTTCTAACTTATTACTGCTTTTTAATGCTAACATCTTGCCTGTTAAATGTCAATATCTATTAATGCTGCCAACCTTTTAATACAGTTTATATAGAAATCCTATTCTAATTCCAGCTACTATTTCAATATAGTACATTCCACCGCCACCCATCCCCATCTTGCATTTACTGTAATATGACAGAAGTGGATGATCCAGTGTTCTTATGAGAAACTGTAATTGATAACTCCAGCTTGCTGTTTTCTAGACTGGTCTCAGAGATCTTCATGAGCAGACATTGGTCTTTGAATAGGGCACAAAATGTACCTTGCATCATTCAACAACAATCTCTCCAGGCCAAATATGGACTATTATTGGCTGAGTCTAGAGGGAGCTTATTCTCTAGACTGTGTCAGCTGAAAGGATGAGTTTCAGAGAGAAATAAGTCAGGGGATAGTAAAGTAGTGAGATGAAAGTTGTGTTGTTATTAGAGCAGAGCTAAATCTTATAATAAGCAAGCTGGTATAATATGCTGCCTTGCCTGCCATTGCTAGGAAAGTACGTCTGGGAGAAATTTTACTCTGCTTCTTTTATAATATGTCTATTTAACATTTTATCTGAAATTGGTTTCCCTGAATCATGGCTAGCCTTGGGAGCCAGCTGTTCTAGGTACTTGCTGAGGCCCACACCCAGCAAGACCCCATTGCTGACCCCAAAAGCCCTTTAGCCCTGCTGCTCCACCTTGCCATCGCTGCATGTTAGCTTACTGTCTCCAAGCTTGTGAAGAGTGAGTGGAAGGAGTAACAACCTCCACTTGTGTTGCCGATCTCTAGGCTATAGTGCGGATTGGTGTGACCAACCCTATCCAGTCTCTTCACTCTTTAACTGCCCTTTTCTTTCTCTGGGCTAGCCTTAAACCCAAATCAAAAGAAGCCAAGCTGTTTTTTAAATTGAAACTAGAGATGGGGGTATTCGTATGAGCTAGTCCCGCTCATCCTTCCAGTCACTCTGGAGCACCGTCCTCTTCCTGGTCGTCTAGCCATTCCTGGCAGAGGGAGGGAGGATGAGTCTCCCTGCAAGGCTGCCGAGTGGCTAGCGAGCGGTGCTCCGAAGTGGGGCCACCACTGCCACCGGACATGTGAGTGAACCGGTCCAGCCTCAGGGGCCGGACCCTTGTTAACTCCAGCTCCACTGGGATATTCATATTCGTATAGGAATACCTCATCTCTAACTGAAACATAAAAATAAGTTCTTAATTTAAATATCACAATGGTTAAACTGCACAGTCTTGAGTTTAGGTGAATTGTAAGTGTCAACTTTCCCAAGCCAGAACTAGCTCTCCCTGATACTAAGTAATTATTTTCTGCAGCCCACTCTAAAACCCAGACTCCTTTCCATAGATACAATTTAACTTACTCTCCTCCATGCTCTTCAGCTCTTCTTTTTATATCTTCTGCTGGCTCTTCTGGATTGGCTCTCCTTTCTGACTTCTTCCAGCCAATCACTTTCTTTCCGTTGTTGCTGGGTGAAATGGGTGTGGGTTCCATCACAGTTGGCTCAGAGCAGCGATGGCGAACCTATGGCACGCATGCCACAGCTGGCACGCGGAGCCCTTTCTGCTGGCACGCGAGCCATAGGTCGCCAGATTGCTACTTCCCTGCCGCCGCCTCCCGCGCAGCCAAACCTCAGGAGGCGGCTGCAGCCGGTGCTGGCAATTCGGCAAGCGGATCCGGAGCAACTGGTGGTGGTAGCAGAGGGGTCTTGAGGCACCTCCGTGCCGTCCGGAGCAACTGGTGGTGGCAGCAGAGGGGTCTTCAGGCACCTCCATGCCGGGATTCCCCCTTCCACCGCCGGTTCCAGGTCTGCACTTCCGGGTCTGCCACTGTCACGGTGGTGGCACACTGCCGCTTCCGCCGCCGGTTCTAGGTCTGCACTTCTGGTTCCGGGTCCGCCACTGCCACTGTCACGGTGGTGGCACACTGCCCACTGCTTTTGGGGCTTTTTTTCCCAGTTTAGGTATGTGAGCCCAAAAAGGTTTGCCACCTTTGACTCAGAGGGTGAGGGCAACACGAAGCATGTCAAGAAGGTTGGTTTGTCCAAGGAAGGGATCCCACTGAGGGCACCCCCAAGCTGGAATCACTACAGTAGTTTCAAAAATAAGTTAACGCAAGCCATGGAAATCTAGGAGTGATCACTTTAATATAGCTTTTTAAAAATACTTTAGTCTTTAAGTAAGGCAAGGGTATGTAGCTGTGGCCCTCCAGATGTTTTTAACCTACCAGTTTTATCTGGCATAGCTGGTGGTGTGGGGTCATGGGAGTTGCAATCCAAAAATATCTAGAGAGTCATGTGTCTACTTCTGGTGTAAGGGAAGAGGAATTTCTTTACTGTCACATTAAAATTTAATGATAGGTAAGGATTACTTCTGTTTATTTGATCTAAACTTCATGCTTGAACTGTTTGTTCTACAGTGGACCCTTGACTTACAGACGGCTTGACTTACAGACTTTTTGAGTTACAGACTTCTCTGGCCGCAAAATTTAGGTTTGCAAAAATAAGTTAACACAAGCCATGGAAATCTAGAAGTGATCACTTTAATATAGCTTTTTAAAAATACTTTAGTCTTTAAGTAAGGCCAGGGTATGTAGCTGTGGCCCTCCAGATGTTTTTAACCTACCAGTTTTATCTGGCATAGCTGGTGGTGTGGGGTCATGGGAGTTGCAATCCAAAAATATCTAGAGAGTCATGTGTCTACTTCTGGTGTAAGGGAAGAGGAATTTCTTTACTGTCACATTAAAATTTAATGATAGGTAAGGATTACTTCTGTTTATTTGATCTAAACTTCATGCTTGTACTGTTTATGTTCTACATGAAACACTGTGAAATATTCTTTTCAAAATAAGATAGAATGAGAGTAATATGATTTGACCCAATATTTCACTTTGCTTGTCTGTATGGATTAATGTCTGTGTGTAACATTTGGGGGGGGGGAGATACATTTGCACAATGCAAACAGCTCAAGTGGGAAAAACTAAAAGCGCTGCCATCTGTAAAAACAGCCTGCTAAGTAAGGATGTACACTCTGGCTATAATTCTGTTGTTTAATGTAGTAATTCACAAGAGTAGGCCTATTTGAATTAATAGAACTTGGAAAGCAACTGACTCACCAAATGCCCACTGATTCAGTGGACTTACTCTGAGTGCAACTTACTTTGCTAAGCAACAGAATTTTAGCCTCTCTATATTTGTAGTCTAAGCACTTGCGTTTTTGCTCACAATTAAGTCCCAAGGGATCTAATGGAGCCACCCCCTACATTAATATTTGTAGTCTGATGCATCACTGACAGCGCTTACACAACATTTATCTGTTGCATCAGTGTTAATGCACTTTGCTTATCCAATTTCATTAAATATGGTTGTTTTTGTCTGTGAAGATTCTCAGTCATCCAGGTGAGGTTATCTGGAAGTTGAATCATGGCAACTGGACTTATTTATTTATTTAATTTATTTAACTTATATGCTGCCCACACTACCCAAAGGAGTTCTTTCTTGTTAGGTTGAAATGTTTTTTCTACTCATCTAAGTAGCTTCTTCAGTCTGTGGGACCCCTAGCAACTCTCCTCAGACTGAAGAAGCTGTCTTTCTTGTTAGGTTGGAATGTTTTTTCTACTGCAGGTTGCATGGAATGTCATGCATACTGTGAAGCAAACTATGTTTTAGTTTTCACCGTACTGATATTAATACTAGCAATTATCATTTTCCTGTAAGACATTGATATTGTTAAATTTAGACCAGAAAACATTGGCCAGTGTTTTGTTCCTAGTTTAAAATTATAATGTTGTTTTTGGTTTTTTAAGAAAGGGTAGTAATGAAGTACTAGGCGTTAGAACTATACAGTATTTACAGATAGATAGATATATATCCAAATTACTTTTTGTTTCAAGCAGGTTGCATGGAATGTCATGCATAATGTGAAGCAAACTACCATACTGATACTAATACTAGCAATTATCATTTTCCTGTAAGACATTGATATTGTTAAATTTAGACCAGAAAACATTGGCCAGTGTTTTGTTCCTAGTTTGACCACATAAAATTATAATAGCAATAGAAATTAATGCATCTATATACTGGCAATCTTAGAAGCTGAATAATTTATAAAGTGCTTTTAATGGTTTTGCTAATCTAGCAGAAATAAGTTAACCCTTTTCAGAAAGAAGGTACTAATATATCCACTTAATGTGTTTGGGGGATTGTAAGAGATCTGCTTATTAACTATTTTCAGTTTCAGAGGTTTTGCTTGCGGAACAAAAGCCACTTATCAATACTAAAAGTATTCATCTTAGGTATCATTTTTGAAATGTGGCTTGTGATGGTCCCCCACCCCTGATTCTGCCTGATCTAATAATCCTGGTGTCTTGTGCTGGAACTGGGCTTCCTACCTCTATACTAAAGGTGTCTATACATTCAGCCTATACAAAGTAGGTTGGATCCAGACTTGGCTACTGCTGATAGAAATGTTGTGTCCACTACAAGCGCAGGAAGCCTCAAGCACCTGGGAGCAAACATTGGTAGGGATATCAGTTGAACTAATTGTTTGCATAACCCCATAAGTAGTATGGAAAGAAAAGGTGTTTAATTATAATAAGATATCAAATGTAGTTCTTCACTTGTAGGGAGAACCGTCTTTGTGTGTATATATGCAGTTTATGTTATGTTAAGACAATAACATTCAAACTAGACTTGGGATACTCATACAGTGGTGCCTCGCTTAACGACAAAGATATCAAATGTAGTTCTTCACTTGTGGGGAGAACCATATTTGTGTGTATATATGCAGTTTATGTTCTGTTAAGACAATAACATTCAAGCTAGACTAGCGAAAACATCGTAAAACAAAATAAAAAGCCCATTGAAATGCATTGAAAACCATTCAGTGCATTCCAATGGGCTGAAAAACTCACCGTCCAGCGAAGATCCTCCATAGGGGTGGCCATTTTCGGTGCCTGTAGAGCAAGGAATCCGTCCAAAAACACAGCAGGGAGCTATTTTGAGCACCTGGCAACCATTTTGAAAACCCAACGATCAGCTGTTTTGATCGTTGTAATGCGAAGAATCAGTTCCCGAAGCAGGGGACCGATCTTTGCAAAGCGAAAAACCCCATTTAAAACATCGTTTTGTGATCACAATTTCAATCACAAAAACATCATTGTGAAGCGGATTCATCGTTGTACGGGGTAATCGTTAAGCGGGGCATGACTGTATTCATATCTCTGGGGATACGAATACAAATATCGGCACCACAGGTGCCTTGGAAAACCAAAGACTCATCATCCCACCTCCCCACCTGAGTGGTTGGTTGTGCAGAGAGGTGGGGATGCATCAGCCGGGCTGCTTCCCGGAACGATGCGAGGTGGAGTGGTAAGTGGACAGGGGGAGTGGGTAAGTGGACCTGCTCGTTTGGGGGGGAGGGTCCTGTTTTCCCAGGCACTTGTGGTGCCGATATTCCTATTTGTATCCCCAGGGATAATTCCAGTTGCATTGTTGTATTTATGGAGCTTTAGAGTCAAATTTCTTCAGTATCTTGCAAAAGAATTTTTTTTAACTGCCTGGGGAATTCTTCTGGGAGTTCTAACCTAGAGACCTACTTTCAAGGCTCCATGGCTCTTATAGGCCTTCCTTCCTGTTGTTAATTTTAAAAAGGGGGAAGCTGCCATGGTGCTTCTTGGGAAGTTGTAGTCTCGCTGCTCTTTAGGCTCTATACAGGATGCTTCTTGAAGAACTGTGACCTCACCCCCAAAACTCCTGCAACAACTTCCTTTGTTGTACAGGATGCAAGGCCTGAGGCAACCATGGAGCTTCGAAAGTAGGCACTGTACCAGGTGAGTGAAATGTAGCAGTTAGTAGATTTAGGTCAGTGGGCTGCAACTCCCAGAACTCTACCTCAGGAATTCTTGGAAAATTCTGGAAGTTGGAATCCAGTCAAATAAAAAACCATGAATAGCACATCACTAGCAAGTACTACAGTATAGCAGTAAGATAAAATATAACCACATCATGCATTCATGTTTTATTTGTTTGGGTGTATGTATGTATGTTTCTGTGTTGGTACAGTCTCTTACTACTCTGATATTCAAACAATCTATGTCTAATTCTTGTTAGACTGTTCCTGCAGAGGGACTTGTATCCATATTAAAGAAAAGAGATGACACGGAGAGCAAAACACTAGCACAAATGCAGCAGAGACAGTCCAAAAGAAGAGTGAGGTTCCAAGAAATAGACGACACATTAGATCCAGGTATTTCAACTATGTTTTTTACTGTCCCAGTTGCACACTTCACTGTTTATTTGAATAATCAAACATTATAGAAGATCGTCTATGCAACAGATGTGAGAGTCTGTGGTCTTCCAAATGTGGTTTGACTACAGAGCCATTAACCCCAGCCAGCATGGCCAGTGCCAGGCACAATGGTAGTTGTAGTCCAGCAGCACCATCTGGAGGACTTTGGTTTCCTTGCAGTTACTGTACAACAGCTGCGGTTGTGTGTCATTTAACTGGATCTGTAAGGGATGGTGATAGCAATGATAGACTACTCAGCAGTGTTCTGTATGCAGACTGACTGCATTTTTGCACAACCATTGGAGCAATCATCAGCTTAAACAGGTACACATGATATGTTATGATGTAAGGATCTCCCTGATTCTGTGGATGATTAGCTGATTAGTGAAATCTGAAAGAAAACATAGTTACATGACTTTCCTTTCTTCTCCCCTTCATTTTATACTATCATTGTTTATTCCATGGGTATTCAGCAAGCTCAAACCTCTTTGGACTGTTTTGCAGAAGAGGTGCTACTTTAAAATATTTTTTTGTATTGAAGCCTGCCTTGGGATTTGCTCAAGCTTAAAGAAATATCCCTTATTTCTCAGTGACCCCCGTTTGGCTATGAGCTGAATGGTGAGATAGTGAAAGAAAGCAGTCTTTAGCTTTTGTCTCTGTTTTGTATATTCTTTTACATTGTTTCTGATAAGCTTCCCTTTTTTGTTTACTCAAGGTATTCTCCTTTATTTTGTTATTTACCAAAATGAAATAAAAAAAGAATATTCTTGAAAAATGATCTGCATAGGCACCTGTAAAGATAACCTTGTTTTTTAAATAAAGTGAGAAACCAAGGGAGTTTCTTGATACTTCCTGATGTAGAAACTCACAATATTCACTTGTAATGTGGTTCTACAAAAGAACAACCTGAAAGTTCTTATGGGTGAATTATCAAGTCCCTCTTCAAATAAGTTAAAAGATAAGATGAAATATTTATAGATGTCAATTTCTCTTTTAAATTACCTCCAGGAGAATAGTCAGAGGAGAATGCCCACATGCTTAGCTGAAAAAGCAGCCATAGTTTTATAATGTATTGTGTTCTGCCTTGGCTTTCATGATATAGTTTTCTGAAGCAAAGAAATTATCTGTTATGACACCTGTCGCAATGATTTACAATACCAGTTCTCATTCAGTTCTTGTGTACATTATGCATTTGCATGGAATGTATTTCAAAATATTAGAGAGCTCTAGCCAAGGAACTGATGGGCATACCTCTTCATTTGAAAGTAGGGGAGGGAAATATGGAAAACAAAACAAAGGCCCATGGATTGGAAACACTCAATATTCATTCCAGTCCCTAAGAAAGGAGATGCCAAGAAGTGTAATAGGACCATTGCTTAAAAATTTCCCATGCAAGTAAAGAGATGCACGAGGAGTTGCAACAAAGTCTATCACCTTATATGGAGCAAGAAATTTGTAATGTTCAAACTGGATGCAAAAAGGAAGAGGCACTTAAGATCATATTATAAGTATCCATTGACCAAAGTCTGTGCTTTATATACTACAGCAAAGCCTTTGACTGTGTAGATCTTGAAAACTATGACTGGTTCTGGAAAAAATGGGTGTGCCTCAGCACTTGATTGTCCTGATGCATAACCTGTATTGTGGACAAGAGCTACTGTTAGGAGAGAATATAGACAGGCAGATAGTGGATAAAGTGCATTCTTGTCTTGTAGGCAAACATGTCAGACAAGGGTGCACTTTATCCACTATCTATTCAATATGTATGCAGAAGATATCATACAGAAAGCCAGGCTACATTCAGATGGAGGAGTGAAAATTGGTGGAAGAAACATCAAGAATGTAAGGCATGGAGATGACCCCTTCTTACTGGTAGAAAGCAGCAATGACTTAAATGAGTTTTAGAGAAAGTGAAATAAAGTGTCAAAGCAGAACTGGAGTTGAAGAAAAAATCATGGCTACACAAGAACTACACAACTTTAGCATTGACAGTGAAGACTTTTAAATAGAGATTTGTATATCTTGGTTTAATTGTCAATCCAAATGGAGACTTCAGCAAAGAAATTAGAAGAAGACTGAGACTTGGAAGCGCAGCATTGGTAAGATTAGAAAAGGTCATTGTAAGGAATTGTCACTGGAAGCCAAGACCAAGATCATTCACACTCTTGTATTCCTGATCACCATGTATGGATGTTAAAACTGGATAATAAAGAAAGCTGATAGGAAAAAGTGTATTCATTTGAAATATGATGTTGGAGGAGAGCTTTGTGGATACCCTGGACTGCCAAAAAGGCAAACAAGTGGGTCCTAGATCAAATCAAGCCTGATCTACCTCTGGAGGCAAAACTGATAAAACTGAGGCGGTCTTACTTCAGGCACATCATTAGAAGGCAAGATTCTCTGGAAAAGATAATAATGCTAGGAAAAAAGGAAGACCTAATACAAGATGAACTGACTCCCTAAAGGATGCCACAGACTTGAGTTTATAAGAGCTCAGCAGATCTGTTGAGGACAGGATACTTTGGATATCATTAATAGGATCGCCATGAGTCAGAGGTGACTTGATGGCACATAACAATAACAATCTTATACAGTGGTGCCCCGCATAGCGAGGTTAATCCATTCCGGATTAACCCTCGCTATGGGAAACATCGCTCAACGAAACGAAAAAACCCATTGAAACGCATTAAACTTGGTTTAATCCGTTCCAATGGGCCCCGAAACTCACCGTTGAGTGATGCTTCCCTATGGCCGGCAGCCATTTTTGCGCCCTCCCCTCACTTAGCTAGGGCGCGAAAACGCTGCGCGCAGCCATTTCGGGGCTTCCGGCGGCCATTTTGGAGCCGCCAAACAACTGATCTGCGGGTCGCAAAGCGAAGGTTGGTAAGCGAAACGCTTACTGACCTTCGCTATGCGATTTTTGGTCATAGAGGCCATCGCTTTGCGATCGCATTAGCGATCGCAAAAACGTCCTCGCTATGCGGATTCGTCGTTCTACGGTGCGCTCGCTAAGCGAGGCACCACTGTATAATGGACAGAGCAGAATCCAGTTACAGACTTCTTATCCTTCTGGTCCCGAGTATTGGACCAGAGAAACAAATGGCCTCTCATCTTCTGAAGAGTTTTCTCTTCCAAAGAAGTAACGCAGTAACATAAGGCAGGTGTTTTAAAGCAAATTACATTTCTTGATCATGCACTCTTGGAAATAGCTGCAAATCTCATAAACAGAGGTCTCTTTCCTGAGTACTTTCTCAATTAGGCAACAACCATTCCTAGAATCATATACAGTGGTGCCTCGCTTAACAAGTGCACCGTATAACGAAGAATCCGTATAGCGATCCCTTTTTGGGGATCACTATACGGAGCTGCCCCAATCGCCGCACTCGCTTTGCGACGATCGGGGGCGTCCGGCGGCCATTTTGGAGCCGCCGAACAGCTGAT